TAATGGATTTAATTAGCGGCAGAACGATTTAATTGGTCGATGGCTATGAAACAGGTGTAAAGAAACAATGTCCTTAGCTATCAGTAGCGATTTCCAGATATTCTGTCTCTCTTAGATAAACACTGGGCGACTTCAAATCGGTTGTTGGTGCTCGGTGTTGGTGTTATCTCCCAGAGTTAGTGTCGAGAGGCTTCTCCAAACTTTGGTGGTAACAGCAACACCGACTCTAATATCGACAGGAACATTAACACTAACGTCTGACAAGGAATCCAGAATAACGGCGTCATCTTATTGCTGCTCTCATTTTTCCCTCAGGCTAGGCAATTCATAAAATTGAAGGGTTAGGCATATCGCAGCTAACGATCAGCGCCAGACTCATGAAAGGCGATTGCGAATGAACGACGACATATTTACCTATGTCTATATCTTCTCGTTTGGTCTGTGCCGGTGCGACGAATACTGCCTCCCATACATTCTTGGCTGTTTCGCGGTAATTTTGTGATGGACAAATTTATGAGTAGAAAGCATTCGCTATCGCAGTTGGAAACTTCTGATAGAATGTAGTGATGTTTTCAGTTCCTATATTCAAAGGCATGAGTACAGAGGCTTCCGTCAAGAGGTGGCTGAAATGCCGTTGCAACATTGGAGAAATTTCATATTTTCTTCTGCCGGAGATTCCAGGAGCGAAAGACACCCGAATTTTTGTCTGAGAGCGTGACGGTAGTAGAGTTCATCATGAAAACTTCGCAGAATTCTTGTCTCTAAGTACTCTGAGCCACTTATGCTACTAACACCACTTTTGAACTCGCTCTGGTGTTAATACCTAAGGATTAGTGTAACACCCCATAAGTATAGGGAATCCCCTCCCCCCCAACACCGTACTGATATTGAGATGGCATTTCGTGTTTAACCTGGTGTTACACCGCGAAAAACACCGCGAAATCATGGGGTTACACCGACACACAAAGGGTGAATTCAAATCTAGTGCTAAGAGGTGGAGTTCATGTTCCCTGGAACACTAACACCGAATTCATTCATTCATTTTGAAGATCGACTTCATGAACGAATAAATATCCGGCAACAAATTGAGGGTGAATCTCACACACAGGATTGGTGAAGTTATTTATAAAGAAAGGAAGAACTTGACGCAGTAATTATACTACGAAAAGTCCATTCACTTTGAAAAAGCTAATTTCTTATCTCTCAAAGGCCGATTGCTGTCGTGATGAATGAGTGAGTGATGAGGAAAGAGAGAATGTAATTAGCACCTTCTCAACCTGCCCTGTTGGGTGACAGTTCGGAGACGCCAAATAGTTACTCTCTCTTGTCTCTACACTGACCTCTACACTGACACGGAAGAGAGAGGACGTGAAATGTAGGGGTCGTGGAATATTTATACTTAACATTCCCCAAGTTACCTTCATGAAACCTCACATACATTGGCACAAGATGCACCAATAAATCTGAATTTTCCTGCATGAAGCAATCTCTTCATTTCTGGTAACTGATTTTTCTCAAAGGTCTGACATAAGTCCTCAAGAAGTATCTGTTTACATATGTTATATATAGTGTATGTTATGTTACATGAGTATGTGTTATGTATAGTTTATGATCTCCATTCGTTTGTGACAAGAAAATTTTTCAGAAATTTCCTGATGGATTTACGACACAATGAGTCCGAGGAATCGCTGCTGTCAACTTGGTTTGTCGACCAGCTCTTCTCAGAGCGAATGGACTTTATTGTGTTAATCCAGACACACCTATGGACTTGAGACATTGAAATAGGATTGAGGCGGGAAATAGAGGGGGGCAGCAGTTGTGCGTGAGGGAGGAGCGCACGCAGGTTAATGGAATGTATGCCAAGAGTGGCTGGCAAAGAATGGGAACTGGTATACGCGTTCAGGTTTCATGATCGCGCGGCAAAGCCGATGATACCTGCTTCGTGGGACTGGATAGTCGTTGGTCGTGGGTCGTGTCGGGTCGTGGTTTCTCCTTTGGCTTTCATTCTCCCTCATTCACCCTCATCCAAATTGGCTTCTCAGTCGTTTTCCTCTCGATCACACAGGTATGTTGTCAGGCCCAAGTCTTTTATCATCACCTTGCGGGAGTGCAGGTTACCTTTCGGCTCCGGCTGCGGATCTTCATCGGCGTGTATCCATTGACCCTTGCGGGTATGGTTCCCGTACAACACCCGCTTTTCTCCCCCGTGACAACGTCCTCAAGCCAGTCAAAGCGCCGTCGGCGAGAGAGGAGAAGTGCACATGTGTAGGAACGCTGATCGAGGTCCTTCTGTGCCAAAACACGGGGTAACCAACTTCCGAGCTTCGAGACCTTCCCGATCGTGGACAGACGGTGTTCGATGGCGGAGTTGGAGCACCCGAGAACGGCGGCCATGTCGCGAGTGGTCAGGCTGGGATGGCTTCCACGAGTTGTAGTAGCGCCTCATCATCCAACACCGACGGGGGTTCCGACCCCGGCTTGTCTTGGACAATATAGTTTCAGGACTTGAAGCGAGCGAACCGATTGAAGCACCTCTCCTCGCTGATGACTCCTCCCCCAGACACCTGGCACAGACGGCGATGGGCGTCGGCTGCCTTCTGTCCCAGACGAAACTCAGAGAGGAGGCAGGTGTGGATTTGGTCACGGTCAAGGTCGAACTTCTGGTTTCCCCGAAGCGGGGAAAATTCGTGAGGCTTCCTAATGAGAAAAGGCGAAAACTGCAAGAACTTTCTGGCCAACCCAATATCATATCAATATGTCTAAAGTCAAATATGCATTAGAATGTCTACCGTGAAACCGTAGTCAGCGATATCAAAATATTATTAACAATGACATTAATGAATATTAACAGTCGCAATAGTAGCGGAATACGAGAGAAACGACTTTGACCAATTGACTAATGGTTCAATGGGCAAAACAGTCAGAAGAGAAAAGCTTTGGCATAGGAAGAAGGCAGTTGACGAGAATAGACAGAATTCGACACCAATACAAAATAATAGTCGCAATTGTCATGGTATGAGGGAAAAGAAAGACATCTTTTAAGTTAGGAAAATTCGATTCCCAGCAAACGCGAACGTTACCGCCAGTAATGCTTGTTTTCTTCACGGCAAATTCGGAGAGCTGTTTGGTCTTGACTTTTTTTGAAATCCTGATTGTGATATATTCACGGCACTATTTTGGGTGATACCTATAGTAAATTCCTTATCTGCTTTTTCATAGGAAAACCCCAGTGCGTTATCATGCGATTTTATCTATTTTCATCATTTGCAGATTTTAAGATCCGGGATACAGGCCTAGTCCACTATAAAAGCAGTATCGAAGTGATCCAATCCATACCGGTGCCATCTTCTAACGATTTCCCAGTCTCGCTCACCTTCAAGATGCAGAAATGTTTCACCTTACTCTCCCTTTTCATCCTCTTCTATTCCGTTCCCTGGACAAGTGGGCAAAATTCGTGTCCTGATCCTTCTGAAATCCTTCCCTGCATCTGCAACCCTATCGCAAGCCTCGGCTCTGCGGAAGTGGAATGCGACGATGCGACCTCGAGCGACGACATCTACTTTGCCTTCAACGACGCTACATGGCCCGTCAAAAATCTCACGTACGGTGATGTTGTGAGCTTGATCAAGGGAATTCCTCGTTTGACAAACAGAATTAACCTGATGCCAAGTTTCAGGAAAGTATTAATTCTTTCACTCCAAATGGATGTTCTAATGTGAACGTGTATGTTTATTAAACCCTTTTCAATGCAAATTGATCTTTTAACTCTTGTTTAATCACGAATAACACTTACTTGAAATGGAATATATAATATGTGAAACTCATCAGCACCTTAACCCCGAGTCTTTTTCATCACAGATATCAAATGCACCAAAGTGCAAGCATTAAAGAAAATGTACAGCTTAAGTCACCTACTCACACTTAAGGTAGCAATATCCCTTTCAAAAAATTGACAAGTTCCATTAGCGTAAATAAACTTTGTATATCACGTTGAACGCTTCGAGAAACCATTCAGATTTCATCCATAAAATGCATAAATTAATGAAAAGCACGATATATTAGAAATCCTTGAATTTAAAAGAATGAAATTCACTCACCTAATACAATGCTAAGCAAAGTAGACCGAACAGGAACGGAACGAACTTAGTGACTGTGATTAAGTGTGGAAACAGAACACGTTGGGTCCTGATCTTGAACTATGGGCCTAACCTTTCAACAGGTCTTTCACGTGGGAATTCTCGTTTTCAAGAAGATGGATACATTAAAATTGCAGCAGGGAAGCAATGCAGAGAAATGTTCAATAATTTATACTTTGGTTGCAGGAAGTTTAGTTTGATATATAACGACGATGTTCGAGTATTTCCCGGAGGAGTTTTTGGAGATACCACTTTTGACACAATTTCCGTTGCTGCTACCTCCGTGAGCAACATCGATCCCGCGGCGTTGTTAGCCTCGAAAGATCGACTTCTGAATCTGCTAATCAGTAGTTCCCCCCTGAGAGAGTTCCCTTGGGAGATCCTTCAACAACTTACCAATCTCAAGAAGCTCGATCTCCGAGGAGTTGGATTGACCACTTTGCCGCTGCTTCAAAGTGCCAGTCTCGAGGAATTAGGCATCTCTGGCAACGAGATAGTTCACCTCGAGGCTGGGTGGTCTCTCCCTAATCTGAGAAGACTCTATTTGAGTAAGTGTGAAAGCCTTGAATCTTACGACTAAAAAATGAATGACTTAGTACATTTCTTCGAATCTTTCTCTAGAGTTGGCATCATTTTCCCAATGCACCCGTTCATACGTTGAGAGGTTAAGATAATTAAATTACTCGCAACGCGTGTAATTTAATTACACGCAACTCTCGAGGCGCATGTTCTGGTGCATTCATCAGAGGCTTTCTGATATTACACTTGCTGGAACAATTTTTACTGAGTGAATTTCATTCATGGTTGTGAACAATATTCTTGAACATGATCAATTCCTGCAGGAATTGATTCTCTGAATGAAACATGAGTATGAAGGGTTATCAAAATTATTTAAGCCCGAGGGACTTTTTATCACTTTTATCCTCGTATTAGCGACACATTCATGTGGTGAAGATGAAAAAGCAGGCTTATATTTAAAGATTTTTTTTTCCCAATAACTCATGATCGTTTTAATGTCCCCCATTAAAAAACGATGACGGAGAGTCCATGATCTCAATCCTTCATTTCCTCACTCTGAGAATTATATGAGGGAAAGAAGGACTGAAATCGCGGACACCCATGGAACTTTTGCGGTTGGACCTTTTCCTGAAATGTGCCATATTTAGCACATCCAGGGGAAGACTACCTCAAAAAACTTACTATGTTATATTTACTATGTTTACTATATTATATATCAATATTATGAATGAGTGGAGGATGTACCAGGAGAGGATTCGTTCTGACGATGGGAACGTCTGGGGAGAGAAATAAAGGATATGATACCACATAATGAAATAAATGATTGGATATTGGCAACATATCGGTCCAGTTCGTCTCATGCTTATGCATATGCTTATGCTTATGCTCAAGCTTATGCTTTTCCGGGTAGCAATGCCAATATTCCTGTTGGTGCAGATTAGGTGAAGTAGGCAAGTGAAGCAATGTTTTCCGTCAACATTGCAGCAACATGAGTCCTGAGGCGTTTCTGCAACGTATACGTAATGACCAAGAAACGATTTGCAACGTCATTGCAATGTTCTTTCGCAAAAGTTGAGCAACGTTGACGTTTTCGACATTTACACATAGAAGTAACTTCGTTCATCATTATTTCCTAAATGTTGGAGTTTCTTGTGTTTCTCTTGTTGGTAGAGAAAGATCGTCAGCCTGAGTGCTGGCGAAAAGGAAGTATTTTGTTGGTCAATGACTTTTGGTGAAATGTTGGTACTTGAACTTTTATTTTCGGAATCTGATTTCTCACACCTCATGCCATCGATGCTTTAAAATCATATTCGTGAACCAAACTTTTAGCGTGAGGTATTATGGACACCCCGTGTATTACAGTAGATGCTTTTATGCATTTACATGAAGAAAATTGAATATCTTCCCTTTCTGTGAATAAGTTATTTAATATGATTTCATGTATTTATTTTTCAATTCGCCAGAATTTTTATTATTATCAGCAAAACACTGGATTTATTGCACCTTCTGCAGGTTCGAATTCAATCCCAGAGTTCCCGGTTGGATTCTTCAGCGATATGGGGAGCTTAGAGCTCTTAGCTTGTACCGGCTGCGCTCTCGGACCAACATTATCCAGCAAGACTTTTGAATTCCGTAATGGAGCCATACGAGACATTCACTTAAGTTGGAACTCACTCTCAACTCTGGAAGTGGATGCGATCACAGGTATGCCCACTATTCTACACCCAAATTGAGTGCTCATGGTGATCCTTATTCTTATTGCCGCCATCTAACTGGGAGCGGCGCACGTGCAACGGCACGTGCTGATATAGTGAGGGACAAAACTGTGTTAATGTTTGACACAGTTCCAGTTAATGACTCATAATTCGAGTATGAGGCAATTGATTCAATTTAATATCCTTTCAATCGTACTCCTATTTCCTGGTTTTCAATTGTTGATAATCCCATGGCAACTTTTATCCTATAGTCTGAGCTGCAGCTGTTCGAAGCCAACCAAGTCAGTGACTCAGTTTTGTCCCTTGACAGAAAAGCGAAGTCATTATTTTTCTTCGTTTTCCTTTGGTCTTCAATGCTGTCTGGACACTTTTCGGCCTGCTCTCGATCAAGTCCAAGCATGTTTGGAATGGAATGGCGGCACTCTCGGTACTGATCCACTGCCACTACTCTTGGATGCTGCCTGGTTCATTCTCATACCCCACAAGCATCCAATTCAAGTGTTGTCCCAAGTTTTTTTTATTGGGTGAGTCTGGCACAGTGCTGACCGTTACAGGACCTCGATTCCATGGTCCTGCATTCATTGGGGAGCCAGCCGCGAGGAGCTTTTCGTATCATTGTCTTGCTAAAGCACCACCTCTCCCACTTCAAGCAAGTAATACTCCATTGTTGGGAAGAATTAGTCCTCCACGATGCTTATATACAGTTTTCCATCCTTTCTTCCTTCAATTTGACAGTCATATCCTACTCCCTCGGCCGACAAAATCTCATGCTCCCTCCACCATACTTCTTAGTTTCCCTTAGATGCCTCTTCCCAAGAACCTCGACAATGGCTATAATTCGCCTTCGCCGCTAACAATGGGCCACGGAGGACTGTAAAAGCGTTCATTGGACAAATAATACCAAAATTAAGCTAGTGAAACCGGATGGGCGTGATTACAGATGGAAACAGCCTGGAGAGCACCATAAGAGACCACCATGTCAGGAGGACCAACAAATGTGGTGGAGGCACTTCGTGTGGCTAGCTAGCCAATGCATGCAAGACCATGGAATCGAGGTCCTATAATGGTCAGCACAGTGCCAGACTCATACCCAATAGAAAACTTGTGACAACACTTGAAGCGGAGGCTTGTGGTGTACGATAATGAGCCAAACGCCATCCAAGAGTTGTGGCAATGGATCAGTACCGAGCGTGATGAAGTCCAAACATACTTGGACTTGATCGAGAGAATGCATAAAAGAGTCCAGACGGCGTTGAGGACCAAAGGAAAATGAAGAAAAATAACTTCGCTTTTGTCATGGGACAAAATGAGTCAATGACAAGGTTGGTTTCGAAAAGTTGCAGCTCAGCCAATAGGGGAAAAGTTGACACGAGACTATCAACAATTGAAAGTCAGGAAGTAGGAGTATGATTAAATGGAATTTAAATTAAATTGAATACCTCATACTCGAATTATGAGTTATCCACTGGAACTGTGTCAAACATTGTCATACATTAACTAGGTGCTGTCCCTCACTTTAGTTTCTTGTCCCCATTTCAGGTTTGCAGCCGAACACAGTCCTATATGTTTCTTATAATGATATTCGGGAGCTGACGGAGGAATCCTTCCGCCCCATGCTGAAGATACTCTCACTAGGGGATGGGTACATCTTTTTAGGCTGTGAGATCCTGCTTGTCCACGATGCTTAATGATGAAGTGCTTTTTCCCCCATCCATTTCGTCTGATTTCTTGTATCGCAGCTAACCCTGTGGAGTGCAACTGCAGCATGGCATGGGTAGTACTTAATCCCGACTTCCTGGCTAGCGTGAACGGTTACTGCATGGATGGAATGGATTTTAAGGACCTGGATCCAAGCGTTTTTGAAGATTGCATCAGAAGTGATCCTTTGGTTGTAGGCGACTACTCCACTTCGATCAATTCCGGAATGAAGTAATATGTAAACCATAATACAAAGGTTTTCTCTTTCCTCAACTTCAACTTCTTAATGGGACTCACTAACGATATGCCTACGCATAGCTGAAAGACTGTCCTCAATTCAGACCACGGCTTACCTTTTTTCATTTAATGAAACTCAATCCTTGATTTATGAGGCCAATTATGTCTATGAGGTTCAATCTCGTGGCCTTTGAGATATCTGGTTTAGGACGCGTAACGATAACCTGTTTCAGTACCAGGAGTACGGTCCTGGAACATCAGGCCTGTCTAGAGGTCCTCGAACAATCTCGATTATATCTTAGGAGGGAATTCCTCCATGTTGAGAAATGAAGAAATACGATCGATCGTATTTCTTCGAATCGTATCGTATCATCATGATCGTACTTCGAAATATGATCGATGCAAGAAGGGGTTCAAGAAAGGTAATATGCCTAATCAAAGCTATAAATGATTCCACCAATGAATGGATCTGAATCCTTGTAATGCAGAATTGAACTAAACATTGAGCGCTATGTTGAGTAGAGTTGGGTTTTGAACAGACTTTTAAATTGGGAAAGAATTGAATGGTAGGAAGAAAACTCTCTTCTGCGGGTTTTGAGTTCATCATTCTCATCGTATGTTATTCGTATTTCAGGATTTTCTGACTCCGTGATGACTAGACCAAAGCCACCGTGTTTTGAAATAGAGGGTACTGCAATATGCTTCATGATGCGGGAATAAAAGTAAATCTGCAGGCCTGTATGCATGTGGATAAGTATGTTCAATCCATCCATTCGTGATAACTTAAAGCCCTCAGTGCTTTTCATGTGTTTTTGAAATACAATGACATCCTCAGGAATAGTTAAAATGTTAACAAACGGCTTTTGACAGACGAGCACTTCAATTAGGAACACCCCTTGTACGAGGGTCGGTTAAGCCTAACGCTACCTGCCAGTACTTCTACTCACTTGCTGCAGTACGACTTTATGCTTGCAGTTGTCCTCCTTATGATACTACCCTCACCGTCAGGTACAGCCACAATCAGAAGAGCATGTCACACGTTAAAACGACCGAATTTATGATGGACGGTCATGAAAAAATGGCAAGAAATCGTGGTAATCTGGGTCCACCCTTAGGAAAATAGGGTTTCTGTAGGAATGTAAGGTACCGTATAGAAACCCCTCTAGGAATCCTATACAAATCCTATGAGAATCCTTTAGAAATCCTATCGGAAACCAATAGGAAACCTTTTGAATCATATGGGGCACCTATAGGATCCCATAAAACTATATATGATACATTTAAGATCCTCTGACATACCTGTAGGATGCATTTTTATTTTTTATTTCTATTTTTTTTATTCCTTCATTTCATGTATTCGATACTGGGTTCAACGGATCTAGAAGGCGAGACGAATCACCAAGTTTAGTTGATAGTTTCAGATTTTTTCAAAATGTGCATTGCGACAAGACAAAGGATCAAAGGGCATTTTGCACAGAGAGGGTATACTGTAGAGAGAACAACCAAGAGGAAGGAAAAAAAAATTCCCTCAATTTGGCAAAACCATAAGTCTGCTCGGATTACAATGAGATACTTCTCTAGTTCTGGCTCATAACATCACCTTACGTGAGTTTTTTGAAGGTCCAGTTAGCGTTGCTGAAGACAGAATATTTCTTCACGGGAGGTCGCCTCCAAGCAGTCCGCGGTCACCATGCCGAGGTTTTCATCGTGGATGCAATTGCAGTGAGTGATGTCATCGGGATCAGAAAATATTTTGCGCGCTTATACCGGGGATGGAATAGAGGATGATAAAAAATGAGAAAGAGAGCAAAATTGCTGCATCTCCAAGGCGGCCGAGGCTGGGAGGGAGGACCGGAGTAGATTGAATCGCCTCGAAGCTCCTTTTTTTGAGAGCATTGGACGTGACCCGATGGATGGGAAAATCCAGACAAGATGACATTATATAAATACAACCATATGCTAATGGATCGCTGAGGCGTTTTTCCTGTGAGGAAACAGGTGACATGAAAGCCTCCTACAGGGCTCAACAAAGAAAGTGACGTCAGCCTGTCTCATGGGGGATGAAAAGGAAAGAACAGTCAGTAAGATCTCCAAACTTGCTGTGAAGATAACCAGCATCCGCTATTCTGCCTAGGGATGACGGTGAGACGTGTCTCACCGTCATCTCGTGACGTGGGTGAATTGCTGGCGCTCAAAGGGGCACAGAGGATTGACACAAGTATAAGAATTAAGGTATGGAAGTCTCCTAGACTTCCATACGAGTAGCGTTTGGAATTGTTGGGACCGGTTGGGACTGTACTCGCTCGAGAGAAGGTTAAGGAAGGGTGATCTCATCCTGGCCTTAAAGATAATTAAATCAATATATCATGAAATCGTGGTAGGTTTTTCCAGTTCGGTCATAGCATGGAAACGAAAGGTAATGAAATCAAGTTCATTACCTTTAAGGACAACACAGGTTCAGGACAACACGCTTCTTTGCTTGCAGAGTGGTGGACGCGCAGAATATGTTAGACTAGCGAATTTTGTTTGCTCGAAGGGCAAAGAAACTCTTCGGGCAAATAAATTGCATATTCTATTAATTTGTTTATTGCCTAGTCCCTTACCTCAATTTTGAGGTAAGGGACTGAGCAATAAACGACTAGGATATGCTAACAAATGCCAAAAATGCAAAATATGCAAAAATACAGAAATATTGAGTTTGAAGAGGAGTAGACCTATCCGAAAGTTAAGGAACGATTGACTTCGACACATGATTACCAAACGGGGGTTATCGACTCCTGATACCACTAACCAACTTGGATAACTTGATACCCTAGGACGAAGTGTCTTGGATACGTTGGAAGTCGACATCTTCGCAAACCAACTACATTGCTTTTCCGATGCAAGAAGCTTTGAAAGCTTCAACGTTTGAAAGTAAGCTCATCACTGTTCTGCAAGAGAATGCCCTCCACAGTTTTATATAAAAAAGGAATGTTTGCCAGAAATAAATAATACATTTTTAAACGGTATTTCATGAAAATTATTAAAGACAGATGTATCACACTTGCTGATGTATTTTGGGATTTTTTCAAAGATTTATTAAAACGGAACCAAAGTTTAAAAAAAGGACGTTCGCAATATGGAAAATGTATAACCGGTCCTTTTCGTCTGATTCCCTTCTCAAGTTAGCTTCCCGGTCTTATTTCTCAGGTCGCAGGCGTCAAAGGTTCGACCGATAGTGTTCCATGCTCATTGGTCATTAAAGACTCCCATGTCGACTTTCCATGGTGCAATTCGCACGATAGGGAACATGCTCCCAGCCAATTCGGATTGCGATGGACGGTCATGAAGATGAGTGAACGACGTCATGCTGAAATACGAACGTCAACAGGAGGAATACTATGATGGGAGTGGCAGTCCATGTCGGTGTTCCAGAAGAGCATGTCACACGTTAAAACGACCGAATTTATGATGGACGGACATGAAAAAATGGCAAAAAATCGTGGTAATCTGGGTCCACCCTTAGGAAAATAGGGTTTGTGTAGGAATGTAAGGTACCGTATAGAAACCCCTCTAGGAATCCTATACAAATCCTATGAGAATCCTTTAGAAATCCTATCGGAAACCAATAGGAAACCTTTTGAATCATATGGGGCAACTATAGGATCCCATAAAACTATATATGATACATTTAAGATCCTCTGACATACCTGTAGGATCCTGTAGGATGCATTTTTATTTTTTATTTCTATTTTTTTTTTATTCCTTCATTTCATGTATTCGATACTGGGTTCAACGCATCTAGAAGGCGAAACGAATTACCAAGTTTAGTTGATAGTTTCAGATTTTTTTCAAAATGTTCATTGCGACAAGACAAAGGATCAAAGGGCATTTTGCACAGAGAGGGTATACTGTAGAGAGAACAACCAAAAGGAAGGAAAAAAAAAATTTCCCTCAATTTAGCAAAATCATAAGTCTGCTCGGAATACAATGAGATACTTCTCTAGTTCTGGCTCATAACATCACCTTACGTGAGTTTTTTGAAGGTCTAGTTAGCGTTGCTGAAGACTGAATATTTCTTCACGGGAGGTCGCCTCCAAGCAGTCCGCGGTCACCATGCCGATGTTTTCATCGTGGATGCAATTGCAGTGAGTGATGTCATCGGGATCAGAAAATATTTTGCCCGCTTATACCGGGGATGGAATAGAGGATGATGAAAAATGAGAAAGAGAGTAAAATTGCTGCATCTCCAAGGCGACCGAGGCTGGGATGGGGTTAGGAGGGAGGACCGGAGTAGATTGAATCGCCTCGAAGCTCCTTTTTTTGAAAACATTGGACGTGACCTCATGGATGGGAAAATCCAGACAAGATGACATTATATAAATACATCCATATGCTAATGGATCGCTGAGGCGTTTTTCCTGTGAGGAAACAGGTGACATGGAGCCTCCTACAGGGCTCAACAAAGAAAGTGACGTCAGCCTGTCTCATGGGGGATGAAAAGGAAAGAACAGTCAGCAAGATCTCCAAACTTGCTGTGAAGATAACCAGCATCCGCCATTCTGCCTAGGGATGACGGTGAGACGTGTCTCACCGTCATCTCGTGACGTGGGTGAATTGCTGGCGCTCAAAGGGGCACAGAGGATTGCCACAAGTATAAGAATTAAGGTATTGAAGTCTCCTAGACTTCCATACGAGTAGCGTTTGGAATTGTTGGGACCGGTTGGGACTGTACTCGCTCGAGAGAAGGTTAAGGAAGGGTGATCTCATCCAGGCCTGAAATATAATTAAATCAATATATCATGAAATCGTGGTAGGTTTTTCCAGTTCGGTCATAGCATGGAAACGAGAGGTAATGAAATCAAGTTCATTACCTTTAAGGACAACACAGGTTCAGGACAACACGGTTCTTTGCTTGCAGAGTGGTGGACGCGCAGAATATGTTAGACTAGCGAATTTTGTTTGCTCGAAGGGCAAAGAAACTCTTCGGGCAAATAAATTGCATATTCAATTAATTTGTTTATTGCCTAATCCCTTACCTCAATTTTGAGGTAAGGGACTGAGCAATAAACGACTAGGATATGCTAACAAATGCCAATAATGCAAAATATGCAAAAATACAGAAATATTGAGTTTGAAGAGGAGTAGACCTATCCGAAAGTTAAGGAACGATTGACTTCGACACATGATTACCAAACGGGGGTTATCGACTCCTGATACCACTAACCAACTTGGATAACTTGATACCCTAGGACGAAGTGTCTTGGATACGTTCGAAGTCAACATCTTCGCAAACCAACTACATTGCTTTTCCGATGCAAGAAGTTTTGAAAGCTTCAACGTTTGAAAGTAAGCTTATCACTGTTCTGCAAGAGAATGCCCTCCACAGTTTTATAAAAAAAAGGAATGTTTGCCTGAAATAAATCATACATTTTTAAACGGTATTTCATGAAAATTATTAAAGACAGATGTATCACACTTGCTGATGTATTTTGGGATTTTTTCAAAGATTTATTAAAACGGAACCAAAGTTTAAAAAAAGGACGTTCGCAATATGGAAAATGTATAACCGGTCCTTTTCGTCTGATTCCCTTCTCAAGTTAGCTTCCCGGTCTTATTTCTCAGGTCGCAGGCGTCAAAGGTTCGACCGATAGTGTTCCATGCTCATTGGTCATTAAAGACTCCCATGTCGACTTTCCATGGTGCAATTCGCACGATTCGCACGACAATTTTCCCCCCGAAATTTCGAAGCATAATAATGCGTTCATTCTGGGAATCCCAGCAGCAGGCTCATTTTCACCTGCAACGTCACACGGGAAACTTCTCTCTGCTGAGTTGCAACATTTTTTTACCGCAGTGAATTCCACCATGTGTGGATATTCACATCCTCCAGCAATACACTATATATTCTTGGGCGATCATCGAGAGGACCTAATCCAATCTGGCTCTCACCCCAGAGTGTATCACTGTCTCACCTCGAAGATGCAGAATCACCTCCGTCGCTTCTCCCTTGTCATCCTGCTCGGCTCCACTCTCGGGAGCAGGGATGAAAGCCCATGTCCTGGAAGCGATGTCATCTTCCCCTGCAATTGCTTGATCGATCTAGGACTCCGCAGCGTGACTGTGGATTGCTCGAACGCATTTTCTGGTGACGAGATCTCCTACGCCTTCAACCACGGTCTCTGGCCCTCAAACCACTTCACGTAAGACGACGTATTGAATGTCTTCCTAGTGAGTGGATCCTCTCTTTCCGCCCATGGAATTCACCAGATGCCATTTAAAAAATCATGCATCGTTCTACTTCCTCTTTCATTCTTTCCTACTCATGATATTTTGTTTGAAAAGACCCTGGTATCCCTTGCCCTCTTGCCAGATTATTTTCATCAAGACCGTCACGCATGGTAGAAAAGTACAATTTCATACTTTGATTTTTCTCGAGATTCTGATCTCAGGGAAACTCTTGTTTTATGTGAAGTACCTGGTGGTATTGTATTGTAAAAAAAAAACTTCCCTTGAATATGAATTCAAGGGAAGTTTTTTTTTTTACAATACAATATCCCTTCATCGTATGATTAGGTTCCAGCAAAAAATCTCCTGCCTGGGTTTGATTCTCACACGCAAGAGCATTTGGCATTTTATTTCAATATATGTATTCTTCAGATGTGAAATAGGTAAATAAACCCATTAAGAGAAGCAGAAATAAATTAGGAAGAGCCCTCACGTTTGCTGAGAATACGTATTCTCTCAACTTACAGGGAATTTAGGATGGTCAGGAACGAGTTCGTTCAAGAACTTCCCGAAGGAGTTTTTGCCAACGTCTCCTTCAAAAACATTTTCATCGAACATTCCGCCTTAGTCAGCGTTCATCGCACGGCCCTACTTCCCTCTAAAGATCAACTGGAGACCATAACCATCGCGGATTGCAACCTGGAGGACTTTCCCTGGGAGATCCTCCCGGAACTCGGCTCTCTCGCCTGGCTCTTTCTCGCTGTCAACGCCCTGAACGCCGTGCCACCGCTGAACAGCTCCAGCCTGGAGTCGCTTTCGATCGTAGGCAATAGAATACGCACACTCGAATCCGGCTGGTTCCTGCCGAACATGCAGGATCTTTTCTTGGGTGAGTGCTGCGGTACCGAAGAAGTTGCTTCTCTCCTTCCATTCCTTTTTGTCGACTCTTCTTCCAATCACTGCGTTTTCACATATTGGGGGAAAGGGGAAAGCATGCAATTTTGCTGTCTGTGTGAAAAGGACAGGAACGTCTTCCGAACCTGACAAGTACAAAAGGTTCCAGTGTTTCCTCTGGAGATTAAGTTAATTCAACTGGTTCTTTATTGTATGCATAGGAAAATATCCTGGACAAATATTTTTTACTCAGGTTCTGAATTCCTTCAATAACCTAGGTAACCTACTCTCTACAGGGTGAGTCAAAAGTCCCCTCCACCTTTTGACCATTCATAACTCGTGACTGAGTCATCGGATTTAATTCCGGTTTGGATCATTCGAAAGACAAGACAATTCTCTATAAGAACCACTACATCTTCACTTTAAACAAAGGCAAAAACCCACATTTTTAAGGAAGCATAAATTAATATTTCAATTGACGACCATAGCGATCAATCAGCCGATGAGCGCGTTGTGGGACGGATTCCGTCGCAAGTGCAATCATGTCCCTTGGGATTCCATTCATTTTTTCATGGATCACCGTCTTCAAGTCCTCCATGCAGTGTTGTTTCTCTGCGTAGACAAGGTCCTTGAGGTAGCCCCAAAGCCAAAAATCAGGCGGTGTTAAATCAGGGCTACGAGGTGGCCATTCCATCGGTCCTCTACGCCCAATCCATCTTCCTTCAAATTTGTCGTTTAACCATTCACGCACTTGACGAGAATAGTGAGCGGGTGCTCCATCCTGTTGGAAAAACAAGACATCAATGTCACTGCGAGCTGCAAAATGGAACATACGACTTCAGCTTGAGATCATCCCGTAAAATTCTTTCGACCGACGACTGAGAGATTGCAGTCTCTGCTGACATGCGTCGCGTTGACTTTCCAGGCGATTGAGAAATCTAATTGCTGACCATAACAATATTTTCTTCAGAACGACCTGTCCTTGGGCGTCCAGAGCGGGGAAGGTCAGCGACTATGCCCGTTTTGTCAAAGTTCGAGTTGATACGGACGATCGAATTCTGGCTGACAGTTTCTCCATTGAATTTCCTCTTGAATTGTCGAGCGGTTTCCGCTGCGTTCTGGTCGAATTTGGAATAAAGGCGAACAATTGCAACTCGCATATCAACACTCGGTCGTTTCTCGCTCATTTTCCCATAAGTGTTCCAAGGATATCAATCACAAAGGACATAGTTCATCAGACACTCAATCAAACCCAACACGCAGACGTGGTTTCAAGTATGAACGCGTTTAAATACCAAAAAAGAGATATTTGATTTACCTCCTCCCAATTGTTACGTAATGAACATAATAAAATGAAATCCTGCCTATAGATAGAGGTTTTTCATGTCTTTCGAATGGTGCAAACCGCATTTTAAAGCGATCAGGCATTCCAAAGTTATTAACATTCAAAGAGCGGAGGGGACTTTTGACTCACCCTGTATGTCAGGTAAATTATGATCTTCCCACTAAAGTATGATGGAAGGGAAATTAACAAATGTTTTAAAACATTTCCATCTGCATAGGAAAGGTGAAATGTCTGATCCACCGTTCTGGAAATTGTCTTCGATATTGTATGGTGTTTGTTCTTATCAGATTATCTCTCACTTCTGGCAGGTATGAATCCCATATCGGAACTACCGCATGGATTTTTCAGCGAATTCAGGAGCTTAGAGTCTTTCGAATGTATACAGTGCCCCCTGGGACCAATTTTGTCAACAGGATCGGTGGTATTATCTTCTAGTCCAGCCCTACGAATCTTTATGCTCGCACTAAACGCCATCTCAATATTGGAAGTGGACGCCATCGCCGGTATGATGATTGAAAAAGTAAACATTTCCTTGCCAAAGAGAATCTTGATTTGCGTTACCACCACCTTTTACGTGACACACCCCACGTACCACAACAAATTTCCAGCCAGTGGTCTTTAGAAGATTTCTCTTCTTCGTCGCAGGTTTTCCAACCGATGTTACCATAGACTTCCATTTCAACGAAATCAGCGAAGTGAATGAGGAATCCTTTCGCCCCATGCTGGAGGTCGTCTCGAAGGGGAAGGGTAGCATCTCCGTGCATGGTGAAATTCCGGTCTTACGCGAAAGCCTCTGATGAATCAGCATCGGCTCTTATCTGACCGCCTGTCTTCCAGGGAACCCGGTGGAGTGTGACTGCAGCATGGCCTGGGTGGTTCTTAATCCAGACTTCCTGGCGAAATTGAAGGGGTATTGCTCCGATCTGACAGAATTTCAAGACCTCGATCCGAACGATTTTCAAGACTGCATTCGTGTGGAATCCCACGGGAATACAGGCGATTCCCCAATCCCGGTTAATTCTGAAGAGAGCAGGAAAATATAAATCTGCATTTGAATCCCTGGTAGCTGAATTGAAGATAAAGTGCCTTCACTCATTTTACCTTGAAATTCTGATTACAATGCGGTATTATGAAGTATTCTGCCGCTTTTGAGCAGCCAACTAGATTCTCAAAAAAAGCTCAATATGTTGGCTATAATCCTTGAAACACTTCTGATGAACCGGACGATGCCAAATTCATTTGAACAAAATTTTTCAGAAGAGGGGTAGGGTTGTCAGAGAATTTACCCATTTCCCAGCTTGGCGCACCTACGTTTTACGGATTTTCCTTCTTGCATGAAAGAAGAAAGTCTTCCCAGGGTGGGATTTTGTGAATTTGGCTCATCACTCATTCCGACCGAAGCATGTTAACCTCCTCATAAATGGGAATACAATTGCGAACCAAATTATTATGGAGGTGAAACACTGGTGAAATGTCCGTGAATTAGAATTCTTTACAATACGAATGTGTAACATATATAGACGATGGGTGACTGACTGACTGAAGCTAATTCTAACCATGTTCTATAAAGGGTAGAAATCTGAAACTTGGTAACACATGTACTTCTTGGGATGCAGAGTTCAGGAAAAGTCCGACTTTGGAGGTTCATGCCCTGGGGTACGAATTTTGGGGGGAAACGTTTTTCTTCAATTTAATTTGTGACAGATGAGGATGGCATTTTGAGTGTCACCTGAATGTGCTGGGTTCAGTGTTGCAGGAGTGGCATATCCAACTGGCAGTGGAAAGGTACGGGTTCAATTCCAGGCCATTGCTTCGTTTTTCTTTTGGCTTTTTTTTGCCTTCCTGTCCTGTTACTCATTCCCCCTCAATAGCATTGTTTTTGCTTCAGTAAAACGGAGAGACATAGAAAGCTGAAACTTGTCATGGACGTGCCTACCGAGACAATGAGTTCAGGAAAAATGCAAAATTGTAGATCCATGCCCTGGGGGCATATTATCATGAGCCGCCGTTTCCAAGCATTTATTTGTTATAGCGTATTCAGCTAGTGTGGAAAGATTAAACTTGGTACATAACTACCTATTGGGATGCTGCAGAAGGCTTCAGACTTTGGAATTAAATGCCCTGGGGGCACAAATTTCAAAGATAGAAGTTTTCGACTAATTTTTTGGCATCAGTTAAACTGATGAACATAGAGAGCTGCAACTTTGCATGACTGTGACTACTGAGACAAGGAGTTGAATAAAAATGTTAAGTCTCGATACATCCCCTGGGGATTTTTCGAGGGACGATGTTTTGAAGAAAAAAATTGTCGTGGCGAATTAGATAGAAATGGAAAGGTAAAACTTGGCACACGTATAAGTGACATGCTATAGATATTACTGAGGTGAGGGAGTATTCAGCTTTCATGTTGCATCCCCACCGGGCATAGCGTTAGGGAAGGTTGGCTTTTCCAAACATGTTTTTTCAACAGCGAAAAGGCCAAACGCATAATATTAAAACGTTCTGAGCATGAAGTTCACTAAAAGTAGACTTCGGTAAGAAAAAAATGGTACGTTTCGCGTAAAACAGCTCCGGGCACATGTTTTGCAATAGGCGTATTTTCACGAACTTTAGGATCCAGCTAAACAGAGTGCGCAAGAAAGTTAAAAAACTTGGCAAATAAGTACCAAATAAATAGGTGTGTATAAAAAAATTCCACTTTTCTAATATATATAGACGATTCTGACTGACTAACTAACGCTAATTCAAAATGGGGAAACGTATAAGGCTGAAACTGGGTGGCATGGAGTTCCCTGAGTCTCCATTTCAGAAAAAAACCTTTTTTTTCGCTAAAACCCATCTGTCATTTTTAAGTCCCCTTTTCCTGAATATTTTTCTGATCGAACGAAACAGATACAGGAAATTTAAACTTCCTTCAGAAGTTCCTGTTTAATGGTTGAACACAAGGAAAATCCTACTTTTGAAATATGCCTCCTTAGCATAGATTATTGGAGAGAATATTTCAAATTGAATTCTCCTCCCTTACAAAAATGGCACATAAAAAGATTTCAAGTTAAGCATACTTGAAATCATAGAAATAATGATTTTGATAAAAAGCAAGACTTTCGACCCCATATGTAACGTATTTCAATGAGGACGTACTTTAAATACGTGTTTCCCATTTCGCAAAAATGAATGAATTAATCACTATCCAAGGTAATGCAGCGCCGAAGGCGCGACCATAGCCAAAGACAAGTAGACAAAGACCATAGACAAGGAGTCAAGTAAAAATTTTAAGTCTTGATATATCCCCGTGGGGAATTTTTTGCGGGGAACGATGTTTAAAAAAAAAATGTCGTGGCGAATTGGACAGAAATAGAAAGGTGAAACTTGGCTCACCCATAAGTGACATGATATTACTGAGCTGAGGGAGTATTCAGTTTTCATGGGGCATCCCCTCTGGGCATAACTTTTGTGTGGGTCAGCTTTTCCAAGCATGTTTTCTCACCAGCAAAAAGGACAAACGAATAATATTGAAACATTGTGGGGATGTAGTTCACTGGGCAGACATAGAAAAGTAGCTGGCGCATACATCACTGACATAATGTTGATTTGAGGAAAAACTAAACTTCTTTTATACGTCTCCTCAGAGCACATCTTTTGGGTGGGTCGCATTTCCAAAAACTTTTTTTCCCGCCAGCAAAAAGGGGAAACGTATAAGACTGAAACTGTGTGGCATGTAGTTCCCTGAGTTAACATTTGAAAAGAAAAGGAAATTTTCGTTGAAACTAATTAGGACACTTTTTTCAGTCCAATTTTGCTTATTTTTTTTAGTCCAACGAAACAGAGACAAAATTTGAACTTCGCTCAGAAGTACGTGTTTGATAGCTGAGTAGAGGAAAAATCCTAATTTTGAAATATATGTCTCCTTAGTGCAGATTATTGGAGATAAGTATTTAAAAATGTATTCATCACCCTTACTAACAGGAAGACATGAAAAGATTTCTAGTTAGGCACTCTGAAAATAATCGAAGTAGTGATTTTGATGAAAATCAAGGCTTTCGTCTCTCTATGTCACATATTTCAATTGGGACGTACTTTAAATACGTGTTTCCTATTTCACAAAAAATGAATGAATGAGTCACTATCTAAGGTAATAGAGCGCCGAAGGCGCGACCATAGCATTCTATATCCCTGAATCGTATGAGATGTGACAGTCGGCTGATTTCGGGCTTATTGATGTACTTCATCAAATATACCAAGTACATTCTTTTTGAGTCCAAGCAGGAAGAGACCGAAACAACGCCACGGATGCAGTCATTCCTGCTTGCCGAAATGGTTGTGCATGTACCCAAGTATCACACATGGTGGCATCCCAAGTAACAAGATATTCCAGCAACGTTTAGGAAATATTGATATACAATGTTGCATCTACCTCGTATGTGTAAATGTCCAAAACCTCAACGTTGCTCAATTGTTGCGAAGGAACATTGCATTTACGTTGCAAATCGCTACTTATTCATTACATACACATTGCAGATACGTTTCGAAGACGAAGGGTAACCGGAAAGATCAAGGCTTTACCTTAAACCGTCTCCTCAAAGGACGATGTGGTATGTCGACTTTTATTAGCGGCCTCAGGCAGCTCACGTCGGAACCTGTCGCGCGCATATCCGAACGTTAATGGCCTCATGCAACGCTGCTTGTGCCTCTTACTATGGCTATGGGACAAAAACTGAGCCAAGAGATAACTAGAGATGGCGCACCCATAGGAACAGTAAAAGCATTCGTGCTGCAAATTGAAAGCCATACTTCTTGAGCTCATGGTCTCAGCCGCCATTCACTCCTATTGGATTTCCTTTCATTATTTCAACCCAACTTTCTTCTAAATACTAACTCGCAGGAAAACCGCCCCGACGTAGAAAGGAAAATAGATTCTCAGAGAAACCAGTAAGCCCTATCGAGTCTTTACACGACTCTTTTTTTTCTCATTAATATGGGTCTAATACTTCATTTTAGACAAATGGCAGAAAAGAGCGATAGAGATTAGGTCAGTTAAATGCCGCAATTCACGTGCGAAGTGATTCATATATTACATTGGCAGGAAAGCTCTTGCGGGTTACACCTTTTCTCATTAGAAACCTCACTAATTCCGGAAAAGTCTAGAAAATTCATTCGGAATTTTCTAGAATATTCCCGCTTCGCCTATAAATAGTCTCCCTTCCTGCGTGCTGGTTCAGTGCATTTTTGATCCCTTACCGCCAGGTATGAGCCAGAAGTTCGACCTTGACCGTGACCACCTCCGCACCTGTCTCTTCTATGAGTTTCGTCCGAGAGAGAAGGCGGCCAACGCCCATCGCCGTCTGTNCCTGTATAGCTGTCGCACAATACATACACAAACACGCAATTGTCGTTCGGCCTAGCTAGCGGTCACGATCGTCTATATATAGTAGATAGGCAGGAGACAGCACATTTTTGGAGGTGATCTTCTCCTGGATGTGGTAAATTGCATAATACAGGAGAAGGTTCGACCGCAATGTTCTATGGAGTGTCCACGTGATAAATCCTTCGTTTCATCAGCTGATACCCTGAATGAGGATATGAAGGATTGAGATCACAGACCCTCTAACATCGTTTTATTGTCCCGTAGGATGAAAGGGTTCTTTTTGGGAATATGAGCCTCACTACTCTTTCTCCTCTCCCCCTCAAGGTCAACGCGAACTTCATACCGATGTGAGGGAGGGACATCCTGTTCCCCCCGGAAGCCAGAGGACACCGGAGTGATGGCAGAGAAGTAATAATAGGCTGCTGGTCACTCCACGTATCCTTTGGCGATGATCATAATTGGTATTCATCCTTGGAGTCAGGGCGATGTGGTCTCGTGGAGGAACACGGACTCGTTAACTTTCTTGTGGCCGTTGCACTGTTCAGAGTTATCTGGTGTCCTGTTTGGCGCTGTTGCCACTTTTGTCGAATATTTCCAGAAAGTCTAATACCTTTCCTGGCTGTCTGTCTGGGGACTGTCGAGAAAATATCAGGTACTGCTCCAAAAGTACTAGAGATGCGTACTGATTCAAGCCAGAGGTCCTCGGTTGCGAAGCAGCCGAGGTCTCGAGGTTAAACATATGCATATGCGCATATATGGTTAAACATGTGCATATGCGCGATCCTGACCGCTAGCTAGGCCGAACGACAATTGCGTGTTTGTGTATGTATTGTGCGACAGCTATACAGGTCTAACGCTTAGCGATATGAACTTAAGTCTCGACAGAACTCTTCCTTATCACCTGAGGATGTGCCTTTTCAAAATGAAATTTCCATATCGGACACATGAAAGGAAGGGGATGCAACTTTCACGGAAAATCGGAGATTTGCTCTCGCCTTGCTATCCCTCGGAAGAATGAGGAGACGACAGTTGTCGCTATGATCGAAAATTAAACGGTGGCTTTACTCACGGCGATGCCTCCCCCTTTAGCCGGAAATCCTGGGATTTTAAGCGTCCAAGATGAATGAGGAGTGATATCTTTTTCGTGAACTGCATTCGCATTCGCCACCTTCCCTCCATTCACTGATCGGGTGCCGAAGATAAACACGGGTCGCTGAAGGTTTTTTACATACTAGTAGGTAGTCCGTGCAAAAGCACGGAAGTATGTAAAGGCTATGAATGCCCACGTGGTAATGGGAGGCGGTCGCCACATTCCCGCTTCCCTGTCCCCTGGCTGGCCACGTGAGAAGACAGACCCTAATTTCTTCCATCTGCCCATGCGTTTCGTCAATCATCATGACGAAGGACGGGGAACCGACGCCGATCGAAGACGAAGGGTAACCGGAAAGATCAAGGCTTTACCTTAAACCGTCTCCTCAAAGGACGATGTGGTATGTCGACTTTTATTAGCGGCCTCACGCAACTCACGTCGGAACCTGTCGCGCGCATATCCGAACGTTAATGGCCTCATGCAACGCTGCTTGTGCCTCTTACTATGGCTATGGGACAAAAACTGAGCCAAGAGATAACTGCTCTACCGCGTGGGTATCCTTGTCATTTTCGTAAGCACGACGTTTAACTTTCGGTATGAAGAACTCGAGTACCAGAGTCGGCGGTAAGTGAGGATAACCTAAAGGAAAGTAATAAAGTTGGGTTGAATCTTCTAAATACTAACTCGCAGGAAAACCGCCCCGACGTAGAAAGGAAAATAGATTCTCAGAGAAACCAGTAACCCCTATCGAGTCTTTACACGACTCTTTTTTTTTTCATTAATATGGGTCTAATACTTCATTTTAGACAAATGGCAGAAAAGAGCGATTGAGAATAGGTCAGTTAAATGCCCCAATTCACGTGCGAAGTGATTCATATATTACATTGGCAGGAAAGCTCTTGCGGGTTACACCTTTTCTCATTAGAAACCTCACTAATTCCGGAAAAGTCTAGAAAATTCATTCGGAATTTTCTAGAATATTCCCGCTTCGCCTATAAATAGTCTCCCTTCCTGCGTGCTGGTTCAGTGCATTTTTGATCCCTTACCGCCAGGTATGAGCCAGAAGTTCGACCTTGACCGTGACCACCTCCGCACCTGTCTCTTCTATGAGTTTCGTCCGAGAGAGAAGGCGGCCAACGCCCATCGCCGTCTGTGCCTGGCGTTTGGGGAAGGAGTCATCGGCGAGAAGACGTGCTTCGATTGGTTCGCTCGCTTCAAGTCCTGAAACAACAGTGCCGAATACAAGCTGAGGTCGGGACGTCCGTCTAAGATGGATGATGAGGCGCAACTACAACTCGTGGAAGCTGATCACCGCATGACCACTCGCGAGGTGGCCGCCGTCCTCGGGTGCTCCCACTCCACCATCGAACACCGTCTGTCCACGATCGGGAAGGTCTCGAAGCTCGGGAGTTGAATACCTCATGCTTCGACAAGGAAGGACCTCGACCAGCGTTCCAACACCTGGGCACTTCTCCTCTCCCGCCGGCGGGCTTCGACTGGCTCGACGACGTCGTCACGGAAGATGAGAAATGGGTGACGTACGCGAACCATATCCGCAAGCGTCAGTGGGTGGACGCCGATGAACAGCCGCAGTCGGAGCGGAACTGTGACCTGCACTCCCGCAACGTGAAGCTCTCCGTATGTTGGGACGTGAAAGGCGTCGTGATGTTCGGGCTGCTTCCCGGCACCACCATCACGGCGGCCTACTTGCTTACATTCTTGACTGACATTATGTAGTTGCTGAATAGAATTGTTTCCTCAAATGTTGTCTAAAATTGCAAGAACTTTCCGGCCAACCCAATAGTTTAAAGCAGGCCTGAGGTGCGCATTGGCGGAGTGAAGGAACAGGTACCAAGGGATCCCAAGGATACCAAGGGAGAGCAGCTCTACTGAGTACGGAAGCGTGCCCTGCCAAGACCCGCCAGCACTTTTACCATACACAAAAGTGGTCGCACTTCCGCTTATGTTAGGCTTTGAAAGGTTCATTTAGTCGAACGAACTAAAGGTCGTGTGACTTCATGCCTCGCATCGAGTGTGAAATTGGTCGAAATTGACGACGCAAGGGCGGCGTGATGTTATCACCTTCGTAGGCAATCTGAAGAAAGGCAGGCCTGGAAAGTGAGGCCCGCCCGAATTATTGGAGATCGAGAAAACGACGGCGCCGACATCGTCTTTCCGATCCAAGAGTAAGCGTTCCTGTGCCATACAGGTTGGATCTCGTCGTTTTCACCCTCGGGAGTCCGTCTCCTTGTGAGGAATACGAGGATCGGGTCTCGATTCATAATGGGGTCGGGATCCCGATTAATATATGGGCGGAGATCTCACACCGGAGAGGAAGTCATTCATCCTCCAGAGATGATAGAGGACTCCAATACGCGGGGACGTTTTACGCGTCCTCAAGGAAAAGTCCGTGTCGGCCCCCGATAAATATGAACATATTCAAGTTCTTGAACAAATCCGTCCTTAGAGATAACCCAATCCAAGGAGTCTCCAGAGTATTCCGGCTCGAACGATAAAGGGAGGATGGTGCAATAGAACCCTTTTTTTAAATATTGAATTCACGTCCTTGGTGAATCGCGTCGTTCATGGAACTCCTAAATTGAACTATTTTTCATCGCTCTGAATTTCGGATATTTCAGTAGTCAATGGAACGTTCCCATGGACTTTTTTTTTAAATGGAACGCTGGTAGCACCTTAAATGAAACGTTCATTGCACGCGTTCGGGTGATTCTTGGGTGGCAGTCCCTGAAGACCATGGTGACTCCTGCAACAACAGAGTTTTTCGTTTCCTCCGATTTGCAGCAGGTTTAGCAGTAAACCAAATCATTTGCGAAGTCACCCTCATCAAGTTCTTCTGACTTGCTAATAACTATTTCTGCGGGAGAGCTCACCGATGCTTAAATTTGTAACGATGCACATGATTGTGTCCGTGCTTAGAGAGTTTCATCAAATCGGAATCGATTTTGTTGTTTCCCGTTTGGCTTTCATCCTCTCCCCATTCGGCACTCCAATCATTTTCCTTGCGATCGCGGGAGTCTAAGGCCGGGCTCGAGTCTTCCTCTCATCACTCGGCCGAGAGGCGGCGATGCTGGCAGCAAGGTGAGCTATTTCCCCATTCCTCTTCATCCGTGCATTCACGTTACATGTTTGGGTTACACCTGCAATGGGCTAGATACGAGGTGCTTTTTCACAACGTCTCTCGGATGCGTCATTATGCGATGTTATCTATTTCCATCACGTGCGGATTTTCGCATAGAGGACTCACGCGAAAAGGAGCATCGAGGTTATTCGGTCCGCACCGGTCCTCTCTCCTTACCATTTCCAGTTTCACTCCTCTTGAAGATGCAGGAATATTTTACCCTTCTATCCCTTTTCATCATTCATCATTCTGTTCCTGGAACAAACGGGCAAACTCCTTGTCCCGATCCTAACGAAATCCTTCCCTGCACTTGCTCCCATGACGCAAGCCTCGGCACCGTGATTGTGGACTGTTCGGGGGCGATCTCGAGTGACGACATCTACACCGCCTTCAACGACGCTACCTGGCCCTTCCCGAAACTCACGTAAGACGACGGATTTGGCAAGATCGAGGGAATACCTCATTGTTCTCCATACTGTATTAACGCCATGTCAAGTTTCAGCGGAACATTCATTTTTCCACGTATTAATGGAACTTCTTCTGAAGTTCAAGTGCCAGTCTCTTGATCTGTTTTCAGTGCAAGTTGAAGTTTTATCCCTTGTTGAGCCGTGAAATACATTTCGTACAATTCAACACAAATGCGAAACGCATCTGAAGCAATTAAAAGAAAAATCTTATCCATAGATTCCACCTTTTATTTGCTTACCGAAGTACAAGCATTTTACTGAAATACAAGCATGGACCGAGAAAAGGGAGCCGAAATCGCCTACACATTCCTTATGCTCCCCCCCCCCCCCTTCCCACCCTTCCCCCCCTTCCCACCCTTCCCCCCCTTCCCACCCCCCTCCACAAAAAAAAAACTGATTGGAAGGCGAATTTGAAAAGTGCTGGCTGAAAAGGAAGAAAATAAATTCCTTCATAGATAAACAGGGAGGACAATGTTGACCTAAGGGAGTAGGCAGTAAGCAACTAGGATACGCCTAAAAAAATCACAATAAAACACAAAAATATTTATGTTTGATAAGAATAGGCTTACCTTAAATTAAGGAACGCTTGACATGTGGTATCCAAATGGGTGTCATCGCCTCCTAATACAGCAAAACCAACTTAAACCTTGAATGATTTTGTTTTGGGTCGCATGGTGAAGTTAATGCGGTCCCTTAACTGGATGATAACTTTTCTTCTAATCGAGATGAATTTCGACCTCATTCAGCTAAAAGTTGTCCTCTCAAATTTCCACTCAATGTGGCTCACATGTGAAACATGTGAGCCACGTTTAATGGAAGGACATCATTGACATTTCGCGTGACATTCATTGGAAAATATTGCAAACAACGATTCATTTTGGGACTCTTGGCAACACTGAAACGGACCATTTACAGACCCAATTGCTAGAGCCCTATTTCATGCATCGCCCATTGAGATTATTTCGCGTGAGATATATGGACGAGGTGCTGCTTCAAAGTTCACCACCCCCCCCCCCCCTTCTTCTTTCCCACAGAAATTAATCGTATGTAAATGCTCAGGATCAGGTATTTTGAATTTTTATGAATAGCAGTCGGCATCATTGACTGCCAGCTACATTGCTGTATCGACGCGAGAAACGCTTGAGAAGGAGCATTCAGCTCTGACAACTCCGGAAAATGAGAAAACCACTGTGATTGGATGAAAGGAATCTTGGAGAATACAGATTGCCGTCGAATCGGTTTTCTTATCCTTTTCCGTACGTTTGGTTTAGGAAAAGGTACGTAAGAAGATGAAAATCGCGCTTTGCGTTTCGCTTTTCGTACCTTTGCATTGAAATCAGATGTTAAGTTTTGTGAAAAGTTTGCCGAGTTTTGGGATTTGTTCAAATGGTTTTGAAAAGGGAAGCATAGTTTCGAGAAACGGACGTTAGCAATTGGGAAAAACTGTAAACATGTCCTTCAGAAGAAAATCCTCGCGGTTCAATAAGATGAATACATACAAATTGAAGCCGGAAATTGTTTAGAGAAAGTTTCACCATTTTCCCACTGTTTTCAGAGGTTTTCGGATGGTAAACAACGAGGGAGTCCGAGTCCTGCCTGCTGGAGCTTTCGGCGATATCACGTTCGAAGAAATTTACATCCACCATACCTCCTTGGGCAGCATCCACACCGAGGCCTTGCTGCCTTCGAAGGATCGACTGGGGACGTTGGAAGTCAGCGACAGCCTCCTGGAGGATTTCCCTTGGGAGAGCCTCCCGGAGCTTACCGGTCTCAAGAATCTCTACCTCCATGGAAATTCTTTCACCAGTTTGCCGCCGCTTGTAAGTGCAAGTCTCGAGGACTTCCGCATCTTCACAAACGAAATAGCCCAGCTTGAGGTTGGATGGTCTCTTCCAAATCTGACGATTCTCGATTTGGGTGAGTGTGCAAGCATGTCATTGAATTCGAGTAAAAATTGAATGACTTGGTTACTTTATTCAATCATTCTCAATAATTAGCATAATTCTAGATGCATTTCCCCCCTTTTTAAGTTTTATTTATATTCAGAAATATATATTTGAGTCAGAATAATTCCTGCTGGAATTTTTTCATTAGAATTCAACATGAACATATGGCTTCCACGTAGTCATGCTTTATTCAGATACTCTCATCTCTACCATTGAAGTAAAATAATAAGGGAGAGTTTCGCAACAAAGAGAATATTTAAGGAATTTTTTCATTAGAATTCAACATGAACATATGGCTTCCACGTAGTCATGCTTTATTCAGATACTCTCATCTCTACCATTGAAGTAAAATAATAAGGGAGAGTTTCGCAACAAAGAGAATATTTAAGGAAAAAATGAGGATTGAGGTAACCCCGGTAAGGAATTAAAGAAACTATAATTTTCAGCTATCCGCTTCAATGGTTTTCGCCTGATAAAATGGATCACAACCTGTTCTTCGATGTTCTTCAATAAGGGAAGTGGATCACCCAAAATAACAGGGTGTATGGTAAATGAGTCAATTCAAATTTTCTGAGGCAATGTGCACCAGGAATCACCCTAAAGTGGGAGAAGTGAATGGCAGAGGTACGTCCCACAATCCAGAGCTGGTGGGGTGGTTGTCAGCTTGTGTGTGGGGAATGGGAGTTGTATGGAAATTCAAAATTTTCTAGATGAAGTTCATCAAGTCTTCGTTCACGTTTTTGAAATTTGATGCCTCCTCCTCAAAAGCGATATTTGCTCAGCAAACGTTTTTGCATGAAATATCATGGCTCACCCTGTATATTAGGTGCTTCCACGCACTTATAATTCACGACTGAACATCTCATCCACATGCCTTATTTGATTTGTACTTAATTTTATTGCACGTTCTACAGGTTTTAATCTCATCTCGGAGTTCCCGGCTGGATTCCTTAACGACTCGGAGAACTTTCAACAATTTTTTTGCTACTACTGTTCCTTCGGACCAACATTGTCGGCCAATTCTTTGGAATTCCACAGTGCAACCATACAGTTTATTGAATTAGAGGGCAATTCCATCTCAACTCTTGAGGCGGATGCAATCACAGGTATGGTCTCCCTTCTGCACCCACATCTGGTGATCCTGATGATCTTAATGTATGTCGCCACCACCTCATTCGGTGCAGCACTGTTTGTACATGTTCTTTCCGCTCGTGGATGCAAGAGAGATTCCCGTCTCCATTCCAGGTTTCCAGTCAGACACAGTAATAAATTTCGATTTCAATGACATACGGGAATTGACGGAGGAATCCTTCCGCCCCATGCTGGAGGTGCTATCACAGGGAGATGGACACATCTTTTTGATAGGTGAGAGCCTGCTTGCCCGCAATGTCCTACGATAGAGCACTTCACCCTTCATTCCTCTGGCTGTCTGTTTTTGCAGGTAACCCCGTCGTGTGTGATTGCAGTATGGCCTGGGTGGTGCTGAATCCCGACTTCCTGGTAGATGTGCAGGGTCACTGCACCGACGGAACTGATTTTCAAGACCTGGATCCGAGCATTTTTCAAGACTTTTGCATTAGGAGAGATCCTCCTACGGCCGGAGAGTATTCCACTTGGATCAATTCCGGAATTCCAACAATAAATGGACCTTGAGTCCCTGAAATCCAGAATGATCAATAATATCGGAAGCTTTTGAGTTACAATTGATTTTGATATGCATTTAAGTTCAGGGGTTCAAGTTAACGAAATAATGGATAGAATGGAGACTCTGTCCATGTGCTTTTGAGATCATCCATCTGATCTTATGCTCTTCTCATTCCCGGATCTGCAAACTTTATTTTCTTGATGCAGAGAATACAATTTTCAGGAAGTTGGAGGCAAACCAAATCTGCAGGTCTGTATGCATGCTTTTGCAGGATGTGAGCTTTCCATTATTTAAAAGGCCTTGATACTCTCCGTGATTTTCACCAGTTTCTGAAGAACAAATATGACCCTGAAAAACGACTAATTTTATGGAGAAGGAATTTTTGGGTGGACAAAATGATCCAGGATGTCATCTGGAATAGGGAACATCGACATCAACAGTTATTAAGAGTGAAAACGATATTCTTAAACAAGAAAGAGCACAAGGTACAACTTATTGGGAAAGCCTGTCCATGTTGGTTTCTCTGGCAGCACGTTACACATTCAAACGACCGAAATTAAGATCGACCATCTCGGGGAATTTAGAAAAACTATGATCATTTGGGAAATGTAGTACCTAAAAGCCAATGTTAAGACGTTCTACCCCAAAATATTCCTTATAACCCCTGACCTGTCATAATTCGGCGCACCCCCACTTCCACCTACTTACTCACGCACATACGCGCAGAAACGCAATTTTTGCTCTTTGGAGTATTATTCGCCCTTGGAGTATTGTAACATTTTGCTCCTCATCCGTGTTCGACCATTGCTATATCCTCACGTTGCCTCCCAATACGAAATATTCACCTAATTGAACTTGAGCTTATAAGCTACCCGTATTAAATATCACCTCATTAAATGCCACAGTATTAACTCCACAGCTCTCCTTTACGGCATTTACCATTTTAAATAAAATGTTTCATAGCTGGGTTGCTAATTACCCCCATTAGGCGCAAATTATTCGTGCCTCACTGCATATTCAGAATTATTTTTACTTTTCACCCGGCAAAAGCTTCTTTTCTGCATCGAGAGTATCAAGTGCTTCCGATATCTTGGGACGGTCCCGCATATGGGAATGAATAACGTGATTGGTTGAGTCGCGGCGTGGAGGTCCCCAGGCACATAGCAAGGGGCAAGTAGCCACACTCGTCCGGTTTCAGTAAGACTGCAGCCGCGCCTGGAATGGTGCTGCGTCTCGCGCCATAGGAAAGAACCATCCATACATTCTCATTGGAAACACCACTTAATGTGAAATGACGATGGTCATTGAAATTACTTCCTGTGCAGTCACTTTGGAAGTTGAACCATCCTCCCTCTATCGTTCGAGCCAGAGTTCTCTGGAAACTCCTTTGACTGGGTTACCTCTAATGACGGAATTATTCAAGAATTCGAGTATCTCTTGCTCTGGATTATGTGAAGAAAGATTGGCTACATTGTGGAAAGTATTGGTGACTAATTCCAGCTGTATCAGGAATCGACGCATTAAAGCCACTACTTTGGCACCATCTAGCGTCGGTTTTGCGAATCTTTGCTTTAAGCCAATGACTCTGAATGGGCATAATGTTCCCAGACCGCACTGAAGTGGTTCATGAAACTCAAAAAAGACCTACATTCGGTCAAACGTTACAAGTTTTCTCTTAAATTCGCCATGAGAGACTGAATAGGCCTGGGATTGGCTTAACGGTACACCTCAACGAAGTGTCTCGAAGACCAGGGATTAATCCCAACAACATCAACTTTATCGTATGATGAGTACTCATGCCTCCCTATCTTTCTCCTTATCCTTCTTTCATTGTTTCATGAAGGCTGTGGAGACTCGCTGGAGATCCCAGGAGCAGGTGATTGAGCTGATTGGTAAGAACCACATCCCACATCAAAGTGAATGCAGAGGAGAAGGGGCCCTTGACCTGATTTTGGCCAATTTCTTTATGTCCAATGGAAACAGATATACCAAAACTGCTTAGAACCGTTTGCTCAAATATCTGTCATCATCGCCATGGGCGATGACGACAGATCATCTAATCTCCCAGGAGCAGTGGACACAATCCGGGAACTTTGGAACTTACGTGCGAGGACCGTATATTGAGCGCTCTCGCTGAAAATCGATGGGACGTGAAAACTGAAGATGACAGTTTTTATTTTGTTGGTGCAAGAAATCCCTCTTTTTGACATTCAATGAAAGAGTGCATACATACTTATTGAACTACTTTCGTGATCTGGACATCTGAACAGGAATAAACTAAAATAATCGATTCCGCAACAGTGACGATTCACAAAGGTTGAAAGAAATTAAGGAAATGCATATCCCATTCTTGAAATTGACACAATCAAAATATCCTACAGAAATTCGGCAAATGATTTCCGTGTTTCATTTTCTCTGCAGTGTTAGAGAGCGGGACAGTGGATTTTGAACATCGAAATGAATGGTGTTCGGTGTTGCATTCGATACCGGTGACGTTTCAAAGTTCATTTCTTTGGAATCAGAAGCTAGCACGGTGCACACGTGAGGGATCTTCCCGACGGAACAGTGAAAGCCGGCAAGAGTCACTTCTCTATATTTGCAAATATTGGGATTGAAATTTCATGCAAATCGGAACCATTCAAATGGGATTTTTTTCATTCAGATGACGGAACCGAGACGAACGACTGTGGAAACATCACGTCGTACCGCTCATAGAAAATATTAAGCCGACCTGATATCTCTGCGCTAACAATGCCGAGACGTCAAACAGTCGAGAAACAGTTAGACTACTGAGGTGCTGCCTCTAACGTTCATCCATTTGTGAAAGTGCTGGCGATCGTGGACTGAACCCAGGAAGAGTAGGCGGAGGCCTTGATGTAACCGCTTGGGTGCACTGCATAGCCTCCTAAGGTGTAGGAGGCAATCCCGCTCACGAAGGCTCGACCATCTGCGTATTGCACCACCAGGGGTCCGCCACTATCTTCCAGACTGTAAAAATGAACACATAGCACGGCTATTATTTTAACCTTTTTTAAAGGAAATGCAAGACATTGGAATGTCTTGCCCTCCCTGTACCTGTCTAGTGACAAGTTCTAAATATTAAAGTTCTCGTGCGTTCCTGAATAACGTATCACACATTTAATCGAGGTGAAAATGGACAGCACAATTTTAAATATCCGCATGAGTTCCTTTATAAGTAGCGAACCAGAGCGAGAAAAATCAAGACTGAGGCATGAAACTCAGAATATAGCCTGAGCTAGCCTACTTTTGTTATGCCCGAATCCGGAAAGATAACCCTTTTCTCATAATTAGCACGTCTTATGGCATCCATGACGCTGTTTCCTCGTTCAGTGGGGGGATTCAGCATGGGGATTCCAACTCAAAACTAAAAACACATGCAATTTGAATGCTCATCATTGCCCTATGGCTCCTCCTCATTGTTTTGCCTTCAAAGTGACCAAGTAAGTAAAATATGAAAAAGCCCACCTTTTTCATATTTTACTTACATATTTACATACATAGGGGAAAAACCCCTAAACTCATCAGTCCAACCTCATTTATCCAAGTGGTAATCACTTCGTTCCCCTCTGCCCGTCTGTAATCTCCCACACATGCAACCCCACCCATCAGATGAGGATCAAGTATTATTTTTAGGAATTCCTTCTTAGTGTTTTGCAAAGCAAAAACATTTGGCATTAATTTGTTAGTTTTCGAAGGAGCACATCAGAACGTAATGGGGTCGCAAATATAGCAGACGGAGAAGCATCGTCCAGTGTTCCCGGTCCTCGGCAACCGACTCAAGCTCGGAAGATAGAAAATACAAGGCTTTTCTATCGGAGAGAAAATAATTCGATTTATATGCAGGATACCTGGCACCATAAGACAAAGGCCAAATATTGCGTAGAGCAAAATTTCACTGACTGAGATCACACCTCATGCCAACCTTGCGGCATCTGTTCATCGTTTACGTTGGTTTGCGAAAGTGCGAACATAAAGAAGTATTGGAGGTACACTCGTAGAAAATTCGGAGCGTTTGGGGAATAAAAAGTGCGCACACCGCGAGCTTTTCGAATTTACTCTCATATTACTCGCCAAATGCTCCCTCATCGCTCGTATTAAAGTGAACACCTTGAAGTTCTTCGCCAGGCCTCTAGATGGAGGTAAGGGTCTCGCTTTTCGTACCGTACACAAAAGTTCCCTTCCCTTTTTCCATGGAATCGTCACTCGCAGGATTATTTCGTACCGCGCACGTATGTCTCTCCTAGTCTAGGAATAAGTAAACATGGACACTTCATCATTTGTTATCCACATATTGAAGAAATATTCCTGGAGTCCAGGCCATAAACAAGCTCACATTCCTATTGAGAACGCTTTTGGAACGCGTGAGTTTCAATCGGCATAGGAGTTCTCGAATATACAGAGAGTGTCCTTGAACTTCGTTCAATCACACCTCAATTAAATGAGATAATAAGGGACTGATACCTCGGACACTACGGAACCTCGAAGAGGTGGTTCACCCTCTGACGTGTGCTGTATTCAGTACAGGCAGAGGTAGGTCAACGCCTGTACGAGGACGAAACGGCACACAGTATATGAGAACTTTCGTATTTGCATGACATCCCTATAACTTTTTGATGAGTGCGTTTTTATTCACAGAGGAGGATAGCAATTTTACTCCCTGGTAGTAGAATAAATTCGCTCTTTTCCCAGAGTGAAAGGAGGGTGAAACTGGAGTTAGCTATTTTACTCTCTTTTTGAGAAAAATCGCCCCCTTTTTCTAAGATTGTAGGATTACATTCATGGAAAGGAATCCAAATTTTTTTAGCGCGTTTACCCCCCCCCCCTCCTCCTCTTCCCTCGTCGGCTTCCAGGCCCATATTCTTTTCGTCACAAAGGTCAAAGTTCATATGGTAAGTGTCTAGCCTTCATCTTCCAATTGAAAAGGACATGCCGTTCAATTCGCAGCAGGTGCGGCGAGCCTCTCCTCATCCAAGGTGAGTCAATTTTTGAGCGAATTCTCCAGTT